GTGCCCTAGAAATGCCCGGTCTCTGCGTGTGGGGCTGGTTGAAGCTGCCACATCTCCTGGGCTTGGCAACAACCTCTTGGTCCCCCTTGTGTACCTGTTCCAGGCCAAAGGGTCGTCAGCGGAAGCTGTGGAAGGACGAGGGCCGCTGGGAGCATGACAAATTCCGGGAGGACGAGCAGGCGCCCAAGACCAGGCAGGAGCTGATCGCGCTGTATGGCTACGACATCAGATCAGCGCACAACCCCGATGACATCAAGCCGAGGAGGATGCGCAAACCAAGGGGAGCAGCAGAGTCAAAACAGAGCCCAGCTTGTCCTGGAGGGACACCTCACCCTCGTGCCAGGTGCCTCAGACAAGACGTCTGAAGCCCCAAAGGGGAAGGCCCTGTTGTTGGCTTTGGCCCCAGGGTGGGACCTTGGTCCTGGGAGTTCTGGGTGCTGCACCCCGGAAAGGTGTTCCCAGGCACAGCAGCATCTCTCACCCAGGTATTTCTCTCCAGTCCTTTGTACTATTTTTCTTCCTTAGGTTTGGGAGCCCTCCTCAGCGAGACCCAAACTGGTCCAACGAGAGGCCAAATAAGCCCCCAAGGCACCAAGGCACAGACAGCACTTCAGCTGCCCCGCGAACCTTCACCAACAGGAGCTCTGCGGGCACAGGGAGGATGCCTCCACCTCGGAACTACCCGAGGATGGGGGGCTACAAAGAGACCCGTCCAAGCTACCGAGCTTCGGAAGCCAGCGTCCAGCATCTGTCTCGAAACGGCGAGCAGGCCAAACAGGAGAGCAGCTACCGAGCGAAGCGTGCGGAGCAAACCCCACCAAGAGACAAGTCGCCCGAGATGGAGGCGGCACACGTCCACGGCAGCCCCCTGAAGGAGGAGGTGGCTTTGGCAAACCAAGCCACAGCTGCTGATGCTGCACAGCCACCGCCAGACAGACCAGTTGAAAAGAAGTCTTATTCCCGGGCAAGAAGGACCAGAATCAAAGCTGGGGACGCGGGGAAGCTGGCAGATGAGGTGCCCGCTTCGGAAGGGCTGACTCCTGCGCCTCCAAAACCTGTGCAAGTCGAGACGTCCCCGCCACCGACCAAGAGCAGTGACTGGGATTCACTGGTAGAATCCAACTTGGACGGACTGGAGCAAGAGGTGACCCAGCTGAATCTCACCGAGCAGAACTGGACGCCGGGGCAGTCGCAGTTCATACAGCCCCGGGAGCTGAGGGGTAAGTGGTGCAGCCGCTTGGTTTTCCACTGCATCCCGGCCAAACGCAATTCCGCATTCCCGTAGTCCCTCGGAGCTGGGTTGTCTCTGCCTTAGTCCAGTCTCAGGGTCGGTGTGTGATGGTGGCGCACGCTGCCGAGAGAGAGTGCGGTGGAGATGGTGAGGGGGGACGAAACAGAAGAGAAAAAGGGGAAATTAAACATTCTGGTGTAAGTGAGTTGGTGTAGGGCTGGGAAGGATGTAAGAGTAGATCCTTTCCCTCCCTCCGCCCCGTTCTGTGCTGAGAACGGGGAGGTTCGGTGAAGCTGGAGCCTGTGTGTGGAACAGGCTGCAGGGACTTTGCGTGACGCGAGTCACGGTGAGACTGGCTGCAGGAGTCGGAGTTCGGGAGGCACGGAGCGTTGTGCTCGCTTGGCAGGTAAGGGTGATGATTAATCGGGCTCCTCCAGTGCTCAGGGGCAGGAGGGAGCTTTCCATTTCCTAGCGTTGAGATTTGGTTGCCACTAGCTAAGGCCTGACTGGGATTGGCAAATTAATTTGTGCCTGGTAGGGGGAAGCTGCTCCGTTGGC